CAGCCCCAGGAGCAGCAGGGCAGCTTGGAACAGGCTGTGTAAGAATTAGTGTAATACAACAGGGGGGAACCCAGAACTCATGGAAAGAGAGGCGCTGAGCTTCTCAAACATAGGATCAAAGAAAGGTTTCATCAAAGTCCTCGTGCAGGGCAGAGCCAGCCAGGATCCCACCTCCTCCTGGCTCTCCCAGATCAAAGCCATTGGCAGAGAGCAGCAAATGTATTTTAGACACCCAGACGATGTTCTCTCACCTTTTGCCTTCCCAGCTGGTGACTCCTGTGTGTTTGCAGCAGTCAGGGAGCTCTTCTGTTCTCCTGCATGTTCCCACTCCTTCCTCTTCCTCCATGAGCACCAGCCTGGTGCCCAAGAGCTGGGCATGCTGCTGCCAGCCAGCCAAGCACAATTCTAGGGCAGGGAGGGCACATTCCCTGCATGCCAGTGGGAGTATCCTGCCCTGAATATTCCCAGTGGCACAGAGAAATCGGTGACCCGTGCTGCTGCTGCTGTTTGGGGGATTTTTCCTTTTCCAAAACATTTGCGCTGATCAGTGAGGTGGCCATAGAAAGGTGGGCTCATGCCTCAAATCCCAACTCAGCTTTTCTGTGCAGGGCAAGGAGACACCCAGAAAAGCAGCAGCAGCAGCTTTGGGTGTGGCAGAGCAGCCCCTCATTTGTTTAAATGTGGGTGCAGAATCACCATGTGCAAGACACTGCACTGAAATCGCCCTGCCCACCAGTGAGCTGACACTGCCGGGCTTCTAACTGCTGGTTAATGGCTCTGTTTTCCACAAATATAAATTATTGCCACCTAAACCCCCCCAAAATCTACCCCTGCAGGAAGGAGGGGGTGCAGCATCTCCAGGGAGCAGAGAGGAGCAGTAATTGCTACAGCAAAGGCAACAAAAGCCACAGAATTGCTCACATCAAAGCTTTACAGCCTAACCTGAGCCCATCCCTTCATGCAGGGCAGACTCAGCTTTAGAAGTAAATTCTTTTCACTGCTTTATCACACCACCTCAGAAATCTGTGTGTGTTGGGAGGAGGTCTTTGAGCAGATTCCTCTTTTCCCCAAACACAAACCTTGCAGAGAGCAGGATCTCATTCCTTTTCTCCCTGTACCTCAGCAGCCACTCTGCCCTAGGTGAGAGCAACAAACTCGATCTGCAGTAAGGATCAGCAGTGGAAATTCACTTTATTTCCACTGGTTCCCACATGATTTTACATAAAACAACCACACTTGTAAATTTAAAGGCTACGTTTTAAGTACTTCCAGAGTATCTCTCTGGATTTTTTTTTTTCCAAGGGAATTTTTAGCAACTGACTTTAATTTTTCACATCTTGACTTACTGCCAGCCATACTCTTGAGGGATTTTCTAATCACACTTTTTTGTTCTTCACTGAGGCTGGTTTTAATTTTGTTTAGGCTTTGATAATGGAGCCTGAAAGCCTGCTAATTAAAATCTTTTTCACAATAGTGCTCCTAAGTAGCATTTTAAGGAGAATCCCCAGCAGTTGCTCACTGACCCTGCTCCTCCTCAAAAGGGTCAATGGGAGGTGTAAAATCTGCTCAGAGCTGGAGGGAAGCAGCCCATGAAATACCACAGCAGCTCAGTCCTGGAGGGCACAAAGAGTCCTTCATTCCCCGGAGCAGAAATTTCCACACACGTTTTAGACATTTCGGATCCTCCAGCTTCTTTAAACAGGAAATGAAGCAGCTTAATTGGAGAAGGGGCTGCTTGTTCCCTCCTGTCACCTTGGATATTAACTTAGGTGCAACCAGGGAGCAGCACAGAAACCACCAGAAATGTCTTGGCTTTACTGATCACCAGTTGCTTTCCCAAGCTGCATAAATTTCTGTCAGTGGTTTTAACTAATCTAATTTCTATTATCAACACTTTGATTGATGGGACATGAGAGAAGAGCTGGTTAAAACCAGTTGTCTCATAATTTTCCCCCGTTTAACCAGTGCCCATGAAAACTCCTGACCAAAAAATCCTAAAGGCAGGGCCAGGAAAGGGGGTCATGTAAATTAAGGAAGCAAGCCCATCTCAGCATGTTCCTGCCAACACTTTCTGCTGCTCAGCAGCTCCTGTGCCCTGATGCCCATTATCCATGGCACAGCCTCCCAGCAGTTCCCTTCTCCTTTCTCCCAGGGAATGCCAAACCTGCTGTTTGAGGGGATCCCTGACCCCTTCCCTTGGCACAACATTGGTATTTTCACTGCCCCAGACTTAGAGGATAAAACAACACTTCGGTGGCGCCGAGGGAGGGTTACCCAATTACCTGGCAGAATTACCCAATTCCAGGGGCTGACAGAGTCCCTCTCCCAGGGGTGGTGCTCCATCCAGAGCTTCCCAAAGGAAGCAGCAGGGCAGACAGGCTGCATTAACCCTTTGGATGCCCTGGACTGTACAGTGCCCCCTGTGCAGGCAGGGAAGAGCCCAGAGATCCCTGCAGCTGGATTGTGTCCATAGTGTCCAGCAATTCCTCCACCAGCTCTGACAGCTCCTTCCAGTCCTCCTGGGGTAGGTTCCTGCATCCCACTGGATGAGCTGAGCTCTCAGCTCCCTTTGGGAAGCCTGGAAGTGAGCACTGGATTAGGCATTGGGACAGGCTGCCCAGAGGAGTGATGGAGTCCCCATCCCTGGAAGAGCTCAAAAATGCGTGGATGTGGCACTCGAGGGCCTGGTTGAGTGGTGAACACGATGGTGCCAGGCTGGCAGTTCACAAAACCATGGAATTATTTGGGATGAAGGGATCTTTAAAGATGATCTTGTTCCAGTCCCACCTGCCATGGGCAGGGACACCTTTCCCTGTCCCAGGCTGCTCCAAGGCTCAATGTCCAGCCTGCCCTTGGGCACTGCCAGAGATAGGGCAGCCACAACTCAGTGATGGCAGAGGTCTTTTCCAGCCATAATGATGCCATGCAGTGTTAAAGGTCCCAGCTGTGCACATACAAATAACCCATTCTTATTTACCTGACAATCTTCTCAACCCTTCCAGGCTGTGAAACCGCAATTCTGTTCCCCATGCGCTCCAGGAAGATCTTTGGCAGCGTGCACCCGACCTCTGCAATGACCCTGAGCTCCTTCACCGCCTGCATCTGGCTCAAGGTGACCGAGGCCTTGGACAAAACCATCGTGTTCTCCTACGGAACCAGGTTCAACCCCTACGAGATCCAGCTGTACCTGAGCCGCGCCTCGGCCGTGCTGGCCGTGGGCAGCGCCCAGCACAAGCTGGCTGCCACCAACGTGGTGGTTCCTGGCAAGTGGCTGCACCTGTGCGGCTCCTGGAGCTCGGAGAACGGATCTGCATCGCTGTGGGCACAGGGGGAGCTGGCAGCCAGCGCCTGGCACGTGGCTGGGGCTCACACCATCCCCGACGGGGGCATCCTGCAGCTGGGCCAGGAGAAGAACGGCTGCTGCGTGGGAGGAGGGTTTGATGAAGCCCTGGCTTTCTCGGGGAAGCTGACTGGCTTTAACCTGTGGGACAGAGTGCTCAGCCCCGCCGAGGTGACAGCCCAGAGCACGGGGGACACCTGTGGCACCCGGGGCAACGTGGTGGGCTGGGGGGTGACCGAGGTGCTGCCCTACGGAGGGGCCCAGTACGTGTCCTAAAGCCGGGGCTGCACAGGGATGGATTGCACAGAGCTGAACTCAACACTGCAACAGCCAGAGCTGCAGCAGCCCCTGCCTCTGGAATCCCCAAGGAGCAGCAGCCCTGCAAGCTCACAGAAGGAGGCACTGTGGAGATGGGATGGATCTCGGCCTGCTGTCCTGGAGAAACCCTGAAAACACAGCCACACACCAAGGGGTGCCACTGGAAAGGTGCCCCTGGGCTCAGGCAGCTCTGTCTCCCCAGTGCAGGGTTTCTGATGTATAAAGTGAGGGTCACCATGGACATTCAGGAGCCAAATGGAGCTCCCAACATCCCTGCTGAGGAAAATCTGACTTGGCTCTGCAAAACACAGCAGCTGTGGCTGCCCCTGCATCCCTGGCAGTGCCCAAGGCCGGGTTGGACAGGGCTTGGAGCACCTGGGACAGTGGAAAGTCTCCCTGCCCATGGCAGGGGGTGGCACTGGATGAGCTTTAAGGTCCCTTCCAACCCAAACCATTCCAGGCTCCCTTCAATCCTTGGGTTCTATAGTGTTAATGTGAATTTTACAGAGGAAGCACCCAAATCAAGAAATGTGTTGTCTATTAATCATTGTTAGTAATGTGTAGGCTCTAAGAAGGCTAGTTCCTTGTTTAAAGCATTATTTATGCCATGGATTGATATAAAAATAATATTTCCCATCATAATCTGACGTGACATTGGGAGGAAATGCAGCTGTATTATATTGTACATTGACTTTGTGATAATTTTATTGAAATTATTTTTGTAAAGTTGTTTTGTAAATAAAGATACTTTACTAGACTAAAACTCTCTACTCTTCTCATAAACCAAAATTCTGAACCAAGCCCCAAGTGGGGCTTTTTCCACATTTTTAACCATGCTGTTTTAGCTGCTGATAGAGAAAACACAATAGCAAGAACTCACAGGAGCAGGGACCCCATCCTGGCCCTCTAGAGCCAGGTTTTAAGGTACATTTGGACTTGTTTGCTGTCCTCAGGGGGTTTGTACAAGATAGAATTGCTGCTAAGTGCCAGTGATTCTCTTCTCTCTCACACAAACTTATCCCAAATCCCCTGAAAGCCTAGGGCTGGACACGGAGCACAGCAGCAGCTGCAGAGAGCCAGGGAACTGCTGATGATTTCCATGTAGAAAACAGAGCTCAAGCAGAGAATGATGAATACCCCACTCACTGGGTGTGTAGCCATTTACAACAAGAACCATTACTTGCTACCTGTTGAAGCCTCTGAAGAAGTTATCTTGAGCAATGTCTTATTCAAACAATTCCTGTTTCCCCTGGAAGCAGCCCATCCTTCTTCTCTATCCCCATGTTTGTTTCATTCTCCACAGATGTCCTAAGAACACACTTTGACAAATTTCTTGACATGTTGCTGCTACACTTCCTCCTGGCCATGACAGATCCTTGCTGCCCGGATACAAAAGTAGTTTAAAAAGGTAAATTCCACTTTCCTGTGCCATTCAAGAGGGCTGTGCTTCGTACCTAAAGTTATACGACCTGCTCCAAAGTTTTGGCAGCACTGCTTATATAAGGGAAAAGAATTGCTCTGATTGCTGGGATTTCTCCTGTTACCCTGCAGTAAAAATGTATCTATGTTATAAATGCTTGGCAGTAAACTTGACAAAAATCCCTCACTAAGTAATATCTGCAAATAACCTTAGCTAGAGAACAATGAAATATTACCTCTGTTCATCTCTGGCAGCCAAAACCCAGATATTCAGAGTTACAAAAACACTCGGGGTCCCACCATTGTGCAAGGGCAGAACCACTCTCAAATCCCCCCTCTGTTCAGTGCCCTCCATTAAGTGAAAACAAACGTCCCTGAAATGCAGCAGGAAAAGGAAAATCCTCAGAAAGATCTCCAGAAATCCTTCCTGGCTGCTCCTCTTGCTGCAGCTCATACCTGAAATGCTTTGTCTTGGATGGAGCCTTCTCCTGTCTCAGCTCAGCTTTGGCAGAGGACCAAAGGCTCAGCCAGGCCTTCCATCCTCACTGACTCAGCTGGAAAACTTCCCTTTTCCAGAGTGCTCTGCTCTTCCTTCGTCACCCCAGCAGCACAGCCCACCTCCTCCAGCACAATTCCATCCTTCCTTCCTCGCTCAGCTGCGCTTTCCTTTGGAGCAGTTTGGAGGAAATTTGGGCTCCAGTTACAAAAAAGCTGCAATCCTACACTGCCCACACAGATGGGGGAGCGAGGCTGAGCCACAGCCCAGCAGCACAGGATGCCTGAGCTGCCCTGGAAGGTGCAGCAGCCTCGGTAGTCTCGGATTGCAGGGCAGAGCTGCTGCTGTCCCCCGGGAATAAACGGGAATAAATCCGTGTGACCCCGGTGCTGACGGGCGGTGTCAGCACCGAGCTCAGAGCAGCCAAACCCTCCCCAAAGAGCTCCTTTTTAGCGAATGAGATAAGAACCTGGCTGTGCAGCCAAAGAGTTGCCCCAAGTAATGAAAAGCTGCAGTTCCTCTCCAGCATTTGCAGGCAAGGGGCCAAAGTTTGCTCAGCCTGGTGCCACGAGGCCGAGCCCCGTCTGTGCAGCCCCACAACACGGCTTTGTCTCCAGAAACTGCCCTGGAAATCCATCCTGAGCAGCCAAGCCTCCTGCTCCCTTCAGCAAACACTCTCCGGGCAGCTCTGAGTTCCCAGCCTGCTGCAGACCCAGCCTCACACGCCAATTATGTGCAGGGTAATTAAGCCACCGCGCCAAACAAATCATTTTGCCTGTTCCGAGTGGCCCCTTCCAGGCTGGAATTCCCAAACCTGATATCCACAGCAACATCTGCTGGTGGAAGAACATAAATACACAACTCAGCCCTGCTGAAACCTTCGTTAGGGTGTGCATCACTTTTCCCAAAACCTTGCACATATTCACTATTTCTTTCTCTTACTACTATTCTCACTACTATACTCACTATTTCTACCCCACAAAGTACAGATGGCAACAACTAAAGTTAGCACATTATTAAAAATTATATTATAAATTAATAAATACAGGATGCACACATTTATTTTGAGGGCTTAACATCTTCATAACAATGTTCTTTTAATATTTAGTTATTGCTACTTACTGCTATCACCCCTACTCGAAGGAGAACACTGATTTTACCACTGCAGTAGCACTGTGTTGCAACAAACACTGTGAACTTTATTACACCAATTCAACTGGAGTTCCTTTTATAGAGGAATGAATATTTTTGGCTTTTTAAACCGCAAAAAGTAAAATGTAAAAAGATTAGCAACATTGTTCTATATAAAGCTAATAACATAGGCAAAATGAAAGAACCACTACAAAGCTTTTATATCTTCCATCTGACTATTCCACCACAGAATGGGATTAATTTCATCCCCATTTCTCTTTTGGAGCCTTGCCAGTGACACTAAGAGGGAGGATAAGAGCTCCATGGCTGGTGCCTCATATCAGGGCTGATAATTTGGAGTCCATTAGCAGGGAATATTAACGAGTACAGATGTATTTCCTGCCCTGTGGGTGAACCAATCCATACCAAAACCTCCAGAGGTGCAGTAAATTCACATATTCCTTGAGAAAGTCTGTTAGAGTGTGATTAATACATTTGATCGCATTTATAGATATTTCCATAGGTCTGCTTTATACAGCTCATATGATGTGGTGAATGGTTGGATTGATCCTGGAGCCTTTCCCACCCCTAAAGATTGATTGATTCTGTAAGATCATGGCTCTGTACCTGCCTAGCACAGCCTGGTGTGGTCACACACCTGGATTAAACCCCAGTCAGGGCTGGGCCTACCTTGCAGGACACTCCTGACGATGGTTTCTGTGTGCTCAGCCAGCAGCTCAGCCTTGGCAATGGCAGCCAAGGACAGGTAGCTGGACATGTTCCTGCACAGCTCCTTGTTGCCCCTCTGCAGGAACTTCACTGCCACTGGCACGGCCAAGGCCATCACTGGAGGCCGGTTGTAATTCTGCAAAAATGGGGGAAAAAATATTTATGTAATAGTCTAGTGCTGGGCAGAGTAGAGAAACCAAAGTCAAAGCAACAGGGGGAAAAGAGAAAAAAGCTTGTCAAGAAAGGTCATGTTTTGGTACCACCACTGTAGGCAGGAGTCAAAGAAAGAGCAAATACAGAAATTTAAAACTACTGCTGCAGGAAAAGTTAAGAATAGCCCTATTTTTGTCTTCTGCTAGAGGAAGCAGAAGGACAGTAACAAAATATGTGGTGCATACACAAAAATCAACATAAATAAAATATAGAAGATATGAAGTGCACTAACTACATGCTGCCATTTCTAACGAGACATTTTGTGTTTGGTGTTCCCTGGGAAAGACAGAGGCTGTATGCATCATCCCAAAGCACAGGAAACACCTTGGAGCAGCCACTGCACTGGACACTTGCTCAGTGTAGTAGCTCTAGTATTGGTCATTAATTATTCTGTAATCATTAAGATTTCATTTTTTTATTCAAACTCACAGAATTCCAGAATGGTTTGGGTTGGAAAGGTCCTTAAAGGCCACCCAGTGCCACCCCTGCCATGGCAGGGACACCTCCCCCTGTCCCAGGTTGTTCCAGCCTGGCCTTGGGCACTGCCAGGGACCCAGGGACCCAGCCCCAGCTGCTCTGGGCACCTCCACCAATTCCTCTGAACACTGAGATCCTTCAGGAGTGCAAACTCCTCTTCTAAAATGGCTCCAAGCTTCTGAAATCACAGGGTCCCTGAGTGCACCCTGGGGTTTGGAATCAAGGTCAGGAAAGGTTTTCTGTTATTATTGGTACAGAAAATTGTGTGTACAAAGCACACACATCCATTGCCTGCTGAATCCCCACAGCAGCAGGACACATTTGTGTGTCACTGAGCACCCACATTCCTCTGGAGCCTCCTTAACCAGTGCTGTGCTCTCCTCTCCACTCAGATCTTTGAAACTGGAGCACATCCCCATTTCTGAAAATAATCCTGCAGTCTGATTATGTCTAATTAGCAGCTGAAATCCCAGGCAAACCTGGAACCCAGATGTTTCAGACAGCAACAGAACAGTGCGAAGGAAGGCAGAGCAGATTTTCTGGATTTTCATTCTGGAGCAGCCCTGACCAGAATAAATTTAGACTGAGAAACCCCAAATCTGTTATTCCACAGAGTCTGAGTGGCTCTGAGGATTTTCCCCAGGAGCAGAGACTTGCCAAGCAGTGGACACTCCCTCCCAGAGAGCCCTGGGGGAGAAGGGGCTGCAGCCACCCCTTGGTGTCGAGACAGATCATTCTGGCAGCTGCCATATGACCAAAAGCTGCATCTTTAATGAGAAAAGCCCTTCAAATAAATGGAGCTTTCTGCAGCAGCATGTTTAAATCAACATAATGCCTTGTTATGTTTGGCTGAGACACCACAGAGCAGGAGCCAAATGCTGCTCCAAGTTATTGCTCTGCTACTCCACACAAAGAATGGGAAGATAAGGCTTGGCTCTCTGACTGGGGTTTAAAAGATCTAAGAAAATTCCAAAGAACAATTCTTTTTTTTTCCCCCACCCCTTACAATAAAGATAAAATCCTTAGTTAAGAAAAGCTTTGGATTCAGAGGGAAGGAGAAAGGTTTCATTTGTTCCATGATAAACATCAGGGCAGGAAGGCACACTCAGAAGATGTGGAGGTGACAATGAAGAGCAGATTTCAATAAAGTGATCCAGTGATGTTTGCAAACCTTGGGGACCTCCCTGCTGCTGATATCAACAGAGACCTGCCTGAGATCCAGCCCAGCTGGCAGATACTCATTATTGTTCCAACTGTCCCCCACATCTGCTGGAAAACCTCAGTTTATACCTCTTTGTTTTAATGCAAAGGAGCTTGCCAATAAAAGCTCTGCTTTAGGGAACAGCAAATGTACTTTTATAAATCAGCTGTGGCTGCCCCTGGATCCCTGGCAGTGCCCAAGGCCAGGCTGGGCAGGGCTTGGAGCAGCCTGGGACAGTGGGAGGTGTCCCCATGGCAGGGGTGACACTGGATGGACTTTGAGGTCCTTCCATCCCAAACCATTCCTGGATTCTGTGAGTTACCTCAATGATTTCAAGAGGAATCAGAACAGTGCAATTCCCCAAGCTCTGAGTTTTAAACATCACCACTCACAAGCACACAAAAAGAGAGTTACCAAAGCATTTTAAAAAGTAAAACAAAGAAAAATTGGCACTGAGAGCACAGCACTGCTGCTCCCAGCCCAGCTCTACCTGCAGGATGCAGCTCATGATGTCAGACGCAATTTTGGCATGTGGGGCATCCTCGTCCCTGCCAGAGGGCGTCAGGTTGTGCTCCAGGCAGGACTCCCAGAGAGCCACCAGGGCCCTGCCGTGCCTCTCGATGGAGGCGGTCTCCCTGAGGGCCGTGGTGATGCGCGTGATGCAGATCTCCACCACGGCCTGGTCGTTGTCGTTGCTCTGGTAGTCCTGGGGCAAGCAAACACACTGCAGTCAGCTGCTCTGCCAGCACCCCACCAAATTCACTCTTTGTTGCGGCACAGTGTCCATTTTCCCATGTCCACCTTCACAGCAAATGTTCAGCATGACAGAACTCCGGAATTTGTCATCCCACAGGTCTTAATTCTCATTACTGGGAAGGTATGGACCCCTGTAACCTTATTAATCTTTAATGTGTTTTAAATAACTATTTAATAAAAATTATGTTTCAAGTTTTGTTATATCATTATATATAATATATAATAAACTATATTTATATAGTTTAAACATATATCATTTAAATATATATTATATATTATATATAATATATCATATTATATATAATATATATAATATAATATATTATATAATATTATATAATATTATATAATATTATATAAAATATATATTATATTATATATATTATTTATTATACTTATTATATTTATTATATTTATTATATTTATTATATTTCAAGTTCATCCTTCAAGATGACCTTGAAATATCTTTGAATCTGGTGGGAACTGGATTTTGTCAGCACATTAAAAAAAAAATTAAAAATATTTTAAAAATATATATTTATATAAATAGATTTATATAAGAGAGATATATAGAATTTATAAAATATTTTTATGTACATAAAATATAAATAAAATATAAATATTTCTTAAAATTTATAAATATATTTTCAATATTTTGTCTTCAAGTCTTAGCAGAAATTTAAATTGTTTATATACCCCCCCCTTTTTTATACAATATAATCTAATAAAAAAATGTTATTAAGGACAATGTTTCACTCACTGCAGCTGAACTAATGATCCTGATCTGTTCAAGAGCTTCGGAGAGGCTCCCTTCGATCTCGGCATCCTCCAGGGAGAAGAGATCCCCGGCCCGGGACAGGTCCTTGTGTGCCAGCACCAGCCCAAAGAGCTGATGCATGGCCCTGCCCAGCTGCCCTCTGCGGGCACCGTGGGCACTCAGCTGGGCACACAACGGGAGCAGGCCTGGCCAGGAGCAACCGGGTTCATATGAAGGATAAATCCGGGCTGTATTTCAAGGCTTCCTTGGCCCCAGTCTAAAAGAAAACAATAAAAAAAAAAAAAAAAAAAAAACAAAAAACCAAAAAAAACCCCTAGTAAATGCATTGATTGACGTATTCCAGTTTAGCAAAGATTTTTAAATGTTTGTGAAAGTGTCACACAAGACCCCTGAGCCAGGGACATCCTCAAGCACATTCATGAACTGTGTGAATTTTTATCTTCAAACACTAAGCAGCTTAAAATTAGATTTAAAAATACCTAATAACTGAACCCAAGGTTTTCTTCCTTTCTGTGCACATTACCTGAGCAGACTGGTCCCTGAACCAGCTGCTGAAGGTTCTAAATCCCTTTCCCTGGTCAGGAGCAGAGCTCCAGGAGGAGGAGGAGGGTGAAGCCTCTTCCTCTCTTCCCTGGGTTGTTATGTCTTGACTCCAGAAAAACATTACTAGCCAGATTGAGAAGATAGCGATCTTTGTTTAGAAAAAACTGTCACTTTTGTTGCCAAAATGATCCCTCGGGGCTTTTAAACTCCTGTAAAACAAAGCCTTGTCTGAGGAACGGAGCAGAGGCTGAGCCAGGCTCACACTTTGAGAAGTGTCCTGCACTTGAGTCCCAAAATTCTGCTTGGGTCCCATGGGGATTCACTGTGCCAGTTTCTCTGGATTCTTCTCTGGAGTTGACAAAACCACAAGATATATCACTTACAATTATTATTTGAGATATGGAGCACCCTTAATCCCTATTTTATTATCTTTTTCAGAAAAAATAGAAGTCAAATATAATCATAGACTCACAAAACATTAGAGAATTGGGAGGGACCTTAAAGCCCATCCAGCCCCAGCCCCCCTGCCATGGGCAGGGCTGCCCCCTCCCACTAGCCCAGGTTGCCCAAGGCCTTACCCAGCCTGGCTTTCAACACTGCCAGAGTTGGGGCATCCACAGAAGGGGCAAAACCAAGGCAAAACACTGAGAACCTTCTGGAAGCAGCTCCCTGGACCAATCTCTATTTTAATAGGCAGCACACTGCACTTGTTAATGCCACAAGGCAGGGCTGTTTCAATTTCCCCAGCTCTACCAATGCCATTCCACAGGACTCCCATTCCCATCGAGCAGAAGCAGAAAGGAGCTGAGACTGCAAATCCCGAGGCACAAATCACCCAGCTGAACCACAGGGAGGGTGGCAGGGCAGGATGCTCTCACCTGCTCACACTCAGCCATTCACGAACCCAAAACCAGAAGGTCAGAGAGACACAGACACAGAATTTTTTACCTGTTCGGGATCCCCCCAGGCCATCCTCGGGGATGGGGCCAAGTGCTGCCCCTTTGCTCCTGTGCCCCCGGGCAGCAGGCAGGGCCAGGGGCAGCAGGAAGGCTGGCAGGCAGGCAGGCAGGCATCCCGAGCTGTGAATTGCAGTGCCACAGGGAAGGCATCCCAGGAATGCAGACTAAAGCAGCCTAAAAGTTACCCTTGGCTCCATCAGGTGACCAAAGAGCCCAAATGCAGCGAGGCCTTATCTCTGAATGAGCTGCTCTGTTTCCAGGGCAAAATACAAAGCCTGCTCCACTTGAGGGCAGTTGTTTTTAATAGAGGAAACAGAACTCTCTGTGTTAGTGGAAAGCTATCCTGCCCTGGGAAGGAGGGGAAACAGCCCTCAGTAAGCTCACACTGTTTGAAAGAGAGAGAACAAGTGAACGGCCTTGCTGGAGAGGAGATTTCCTGGCCAAAGGAATAAATGCTGTCGTTCTGCAGCCTTTACTCGAGCACAAAAGAGGGTCTGAGGTTTGCTTTGCCTTTTAACATGAGCCTCAGGAATAGCACAACAAAATGTGCCCACATAATGCAGAAAAATGCTCCAGGAAGGAGCCCTCCCTCGGATCAGCTGCTCTGAAACACAGCAGCCCTTTCTGCAGGAGCTGGCCCTCATCATCCTCCTGGGTCCCCTCCAGCTCAGGATATTCCCTGATCCTTGGGGATATCATTGGCCTTTTGCAAATGATCCTCCCCTGGGTGTGCTCCTGCGCAGCAGCTTCTCAGAGAGCTCCTGAGCTCTGCCCAGACAGAGAATTTTATGTGAGTTTTATAGACAACACTCAGGATAATGCAGGAAAACACTTATTTATTGTGATCCCTTGGAAATGGAATTATAGCAAATCCTCTTAATGCTTACATTGTGTAACAGTGCTGGAAATACTTTCCTTCCATCAGCATTAAAGAGAATTGTTCCTTAAGCATTTCCTTGCTCACTACAAGATTTGCTATTAATAGGCAGCTGGCACTGAGCAAGATGGAAGACAAATCATGTGTCTTATAAAATGTCATTTTTAAATTTTCTTTTTTTAAAGGGTCAAGCTGGGCAATGAAATTGCTGCAGGGTGTAGCTCCTGAGGTAACTCATCACCTTGAATCTCCATCAGCCTGACTCCACACCACCCATCAGAGTTTTCTCGCTGGCTGTATTTGTGTCCCACACACAGAAGGAATGGAGAAGGCAAAGGGTTTGCCCAAAGTTTGTCCATCCTGCCTGGATCCCCTGGCACTGCAGAGGGGATTCAGAGCAGGAATTCACACCTTTCCAAGGCCAGAACATGGGGAACAAAGCAGGAACTCCAGCGCTGGGAACAAACTTCAACTCATCGTTATGCAGGAAAACACCCTCAGCTCATAACACAAACCACTTGCTCTGGTTCTGGTGCAGTCCCACATTAATTCCAAGGTTTGATCTGGTTTCCAACACCTCCTTTCCCTTTTCATGCCGAGCTGAAAGAGCCACCCTTTCCCTGGGACCTTGAAGCTGCTCCCCTCCAAGGTGAGTCTCTCCACTTGCTGCAGGCACACATTCTTACCAAAGCTCCTTATCAGAAGCAATCAGAATAAAAGCCAGCCTGACAGGTTTCAGAGCTTGAAGCTACTGAATTGGCCTGTTTGCAAAATAATTCCCCCAATAATAGAAGATTAACAATAAAAATCCCATGTAAAAGGGCAGTTGGACCTAGAGGCATCCGAAAGCCATTTGAACTTGAGCTGAAAGGCTGAGCCTTACAGTTTATCAGGAGCTCAGCTGCTGCAGAATGACATTAGAAGGACAAGCAAAAAAATATAATCTTTTAAACCAAAGACGAAGGGAGAATATAATTTTTTTCATATTTACAGTGAAGGAAATTCTACAAGAAAATATTTTCCTTAACATCCAAAAGACTTGAAATGTAAATCCAGCTGTTTGATTTCTGGGGCGTTATCCCACTGAAAACAGAACCACAACCTTCAAACAGTTGCGCAATGACATTTTTTGTCTAGTTCTGTGCTACACAACACCCATCAGGAAAGCCTTCACTGTTTAAGGAATTTTAGGGAACTCAGGCCACTGAAGCTCATGTTAAGTGAACCTTTACAGGATTTTCTGATTTCTTCCTCGCTGGAGCTGCAGTGAGGTCAGGGATGCTCCCATTTCCAATTTCTTATTCCCCACCGAAGGTCTGAGCCACCACAGGTGCCAAAGCTCTTTGCTAAACACAAGGGCATGCTCATTTTCTGAATCTTCAAAAATCTAAAAGGTATAGAATGAGCATCTGGTTCAAAAATGTAACTTACAGTGTCCAGTAAATTCCACAGGAGAGGAAAGTGATCTGGGAATTCCCTCAGCATGGAGAGACTCATTATTGTGGGCACAACACAGCCCAGAGCTCTGAGTAACCTTAAAAAGGAAACAAAATCTCTTTCCTTACCTCTCAGCCATGTTGCCATGCTTAACTCATGGATCACACAGAGTGCTGTGGATGAAAGGCACTGGAGGAAAACAGAAGGAAAACAGTGTCAGTGACTCTTTGCCTTTCCAGACTGTAAAACTCCCCCCAGGACTGCTCCAGGAACGATTGGTTTGCACCAAGCAGGGTTTAACCCTCAGGGCCTGGGCTGGTTATTCCACACACCAGCACAGAGTGAACAGAGCAGGTTTGGATTTCCACGCTCTGCGCTTTGCAGTTTGTAACAACTGCATATTTGCTTGTTGTTTCCTTTTCTACGAATGGCAGGAAGATTAGAATCATCCTCTAGGAAAAATTTGAATTTCAGGTGGAATTCCCTCCTATTGAAATTCTTCTTCCCCATCTTACAAGAAAGAATTTTGTGGAATTTCTGTCTCAGAGTTACAGAAGTTTGTAATATTGCCAAGATTGCTGGATACTTCCTTCCCCCCTGCACTGACCCAGGGAAAAAAAAGCCTGGACACATTTCCCAAGAACATCCACATATGCGATTCATGGACAGAATATTACAAGATATTTCAGAGAACCTTTCCGCTCTGTGTTGCACTAATCAAAATTTATTTTATTTTTATGCTTGGAAAGCATTTACTCCCTAAAACAGAGCATTCTTTCAAAACTTGGAAATAAAGTTCTCACATTTTTCAGTGAAAGGAAAGGATTAAAGATTATATTGAGAGAGCATCATTTTCACACAGGGTGAATAGTCTACAGCAGTTCCCATGGGATCAGCTGCATATATTTAAAATCTTCCCACAAGACAACCATTGTTTCCTATGGGACTCTCTCTCCTTTTCTGTCAGGACAGGTTTCCACACTTCACATCCCTTGAAATTCCAAGGATGCTGAGCTGGACCAGATGATGAAATGATAAATTATGAAGTCTATTAATTAATTTTATCCCCTAAAATTAATTTTGGGGGTTAAAACTGGTTTTTACTGACGGAACACCTCGCTGCGGTGCTGGGAGCTGGCTTGCTCTCAGCATCCAGCTCTGGGACACAGGGATGCTGTGTCCCTGGGGAGGCCACTGTGCTACATTCAGCAATTACAGAGCCTTGTCCTTCTCTCCTGCCAGAACTGCAGGGCTGGGCCAGCCCCACAGCCTGAAGGCAGCTCGGGGTCCCTCCAATGTGGGAATATTCTCCCCTGTGACGCACTGGTTTGACCAGCAGGTTTGTGGGGCAGAATCTGCCCACACTGACCCAGCTCTCACCGACTCTGAGGCAATTTTGGCTGCACAGCCCATGCAGGAGCTGCTGCTGCAGAGGGGTAGGAATGCACTCAGGAACTTGGCAACTTCTACTGCTGCAAACAGACAACTTGATCAATTTTTTATATACATAAATTACTTGATAATCTGGGTGCTGTCAAGACTGTTTTCTCTGATTTTCAATCTATAAGAAATCCCATTTGGCTGCTGGTTCAGCACACACTGATGCTTTATATAACACTTCATAAGACGTAGCGTTCTTAACATCAGTGAGGCAGATTTGTAAGAATTCCATGTTTAAATGTGTCCGTGATATTAAATATTAGACTAAACTAAACAACACAGTGCTAAAATGGAATAAATTGCTTCATAACAAACACCACTTCCATCACTGCCACAATGATGCCATCAAAAGCTGCTCATTTTCAAGGCTGCTTAACGAGCTTTTAGATCTGTGACTTATTTTCAGTGCAGTGATGTTACAGAAAAAGAATTTGGTTTAAAATTCTACACAGGGAATAATGTGCATTTCTGTCTAAAGGGAGTGAAGGAGGAAATGGGGCAGAGCACGAGGGACTACAGAGTCAGAATACAGGGACCCGGTCATGAGAAATGCCACTCTGGCAGGGAAAATTGGACTAGAGCAGTAAATAAATGCAAAAATCACTGAACCTCAAAGTCTGTTGAAGCAGCAGTCACCAGACAAGCACTGAATGTCCTTAAGTTCCTCCCAGGTACCTGGCAATCCACCCCAGTGTCTCTCCAGCTGGTGATTTAATGGGACCAGCAGCTCCCCAGCATGCCAGGGCTCCCCCAAAGCAAGGCTTCAATTCTGGGGCCCAGGGACAAAGTGCCCCAAGCACAGTGAGGGGAAGGAGAGAGCTGAGCCCCAGGAGGATCCAGGGGTGCTGCAGGTTCCTGTCCCACACACAGACACTGCTCCTTCCTCCCTGGCATCCCCAGCACTCCTCTCAGGCATCACTGGAACACATTTCTACATCCCACAGCCCCAGCAATCAGAGAAACCCAGGCACAGCCACCCTGCTAACGACCACATTCCCTCCAAAGTGCCTCCATTATTTAACACCCAGCCCCGCTCCCCAGCTCCCCTCCTCGCAGCCATTTATTCATTATTCTAGCTGCTACACCAACACATATTTAAGTTATTCATACCTCTCAGAAGCGAGACCTGGGAAAACCATGAATAATTGATGGCACATTGGCGCTCTGTGGAGGAATTGGGATGGGCTCCATCCCAGCTGCCAGTGCCCCTTCCATCCCCCTGGCTCTGGTATGTGAGCCAGGCTGCTGGCGGGTGCTCAGCCCTGTCAAGCCGACCGTACAGTCTATTCAGTTACCCTGGAGTTGTCATGTGGAATCAAGCAAACAAATATCTTCTCTCCCTCTGCCCCAAGCCCGGCGCTGGAAAACACATCAGGAATAATTCCTCACCCAGCTTAACTTGGGCAGCAGATCGAGTGAAAGTGCTCCCAGCTCGATACGGAATTTGAATTAGTTAAAAGGATTTATCAACAGCCAGTGGTTACATTCAGTTAATTAATAACCTGCTTAAAGTAACAAGGAAATTGCAGAAGTTAATATTACTTTTGGGGCCTCTTCTCGATGGCTGGAGCCTCTCGGTGCCTCTGGAGGAGCTTTAGCCCAAAGAGAAGTCAGGGGAGAGCAGGACACTGAGGAAATGCACCTTGCAGCTGACACTTGTGCCATCTCACCAGCTCTGAACCTCAGCCAGCCCTTCCAAAGGGACCTGCCCAGGTGGGACCCGTGCCCAGGACCTACCTGAGCACCTCCAGAGCTGGCAGCTGTAACAGAAATGATCTCCAAAGCATTCCAGAGGCGTTCTGCACACACCTGACCCTTCCCCACCAAGCATGTCCATATTTTCCCCTTAGCTTCCCTCTGACAAATGAATCCCAGACTCCCACCAAGTGAAGCTTAACTAAAACTGACCCTAGGGATCTGAGCCTGGCTGTGTCCTCCCCTGCTGGGAGAGCACAGCAGCAAACCCCCGCTGGGAGTGTCCCAGCAAGGACATTTTTCTAATAACAGCCAAAGAAATATCAAAGGAACCAAGTGGGAACAGCCAAGTGTAAGGTCAAGCACCCTTGGGCAGCTGCTGGGAGAAAGGAAAGCCTGTTTGCCCAAAGATAATGAGCAGAAATGTTTGTACAACTCTTGTTAGGGCTTTTGTAATACTGAAGGAGTTTATAAATTGTAGGTTTTTAAAAATCTGCTCCTTAGAATACACATTCAGTCACACAGGTCCTCAATTTTGATGGCAATTCCTCCTAATGGCTTTTTTGCTGCTGTTCATTGCACCACAGCCTGGGCAATCAAATACAAAATTAATGGGGAGGGAAGACATTCTTTTAACGATGGTAAAGTTATTATTGTTGTTGTTCTTTAAGGGAAATCCAATTGTGTGTTTCCTACATCTTCCTTTTAGCTCAGGAACTACAGGAACAGAGCTTCTCTCCCACTTCCATGAGACTGTAAAAAAGCTTGTGAGATGATGGCAGGACAGAAATACTCTCACTCTGAAACTCATTTTCTAAACAAGAGATTTTAACATAATAAATGTCACAGGGCAGAGTGGCCTGACTAGGAGAGAACAGGCAGAGGGTTGGATTTTATTTCTGCATCTGATAACAAATTTATTCCTTGTACAGCAGGAATTCAGAGCTTCCTTTGCTCACCATGAACCTAATTTTGGCTTCTAATAGCAGCCAAAATCACCCAGAGACTGTGAATTCCCCACCCCTGGAAGTGCCCAAGGCCAGGCTGGACTGGGCTGGGAGCAACCTGGGATAGTGGAAGGTGCTCATGGCAAGGGGTGGAACAAGATGAGCTTTAAAGTCTTTGTCTTCATATCAGACAAACCAAGATATTGTGGCAATAAAGCAAAAAGGTTCACATACATCTTTCACCGGCTGAAAGAAGAGAATGTACTTTATGAAAATAGTTTTTTCCCCATCCTGGAAAAAAATAAATTTGTTTTAATTTTTATTACAACAGCTACAATGAATGACGCCCTTTTTCAGCAAAGCCCTGGAAATATTTATTTTGTTAGACTTTTAAAAACAAACATCTTGTTAGGGAAGAGACAGGCTATTGTTCTCCCTCTGACTAATTGGGGAAAAGCAACAGAATATTCCATATTCATTACATTTCAATTACATTTCACCAAAATGACTCATGTTATCTTCCACCCAGACAAAGTGCTTTAATTTTAATAACGACAATGCCGACAGCTACAATACTGTTCTTGCAGAACTTTGCTTGTAAATAATTAACAATTGTTGTATAATGACAGAGGGGGAGTTGATAGCTCTATTAATTTCACAGTCAGGCTGGAGTCTCTTTAATTTTGGGTATTCACAAGAACCCATTGCCCTCCCAACATAAAAGGCTAATGGCAAAATCAGGTTTATGTCCCAAGGCCAAAATCCTGTTGTATGCCCGGAATCAGCCATGGAAAACCAAGGAGAATTGTGCAGGACTCACAGATCACACCTCCAGAGGGTTTCAGTTTGGCTAATAATTGTCTGGGCTTGAGGCTGAGATCTGGAATGGGATAAATAACGAGTTTCAAATCCTGCTCTGTGCTGGGGTTGCCTCTGCAGGGGACAGATCCAGGACACGGCACCACTTATTAATGGCCTTTAAATATGTGCACTCCAAGCAGGACACCCATGAGTGTTCCCCTAATTCACTCATATTCCTAAAATCAGGAAGTGTTCCCGTGATTCTGGTAGAATCAGCCAAGACACAAACATCTTGAGGACCATGTAAAGGTTCCCCTTGTTTCCATACCAAGTCTTGCTTATTCTCCAGTTACCAAGTACCAGCCAGAGTCACAGCCCCTGCTGAAATTAAAAGAGGTTTTCCCTGAATAAAACTCTGGGATTATGACCCAGGTCTTGGAGGAGCCAAACCCTGGCACTGCTGTTGGGGTTTGCAGGTGGGTATTGCCTGGTGCAATGCTCAGAGCTCATTAACAGCTGCCCTGCTCCAAAGGCTCATTTGCATCACAAACCCAACATCTGCTGCGCCTCCGTGGTGATAAACTTGATCACAAACAGGGAAACTTTGCATACTCATTTCTTTAGAACCACTGCTGGTTCAGAGACGTCTCCAAAATATTCACAAGCAACAGAAAAAGTCACCTCAGCTTCCCTTTGGACAAACTCAAACACACCCAGCCTTGTTTTCACATCCCCACGCACATTCACATTTCACATCTCAGGTAACATTTTCATTAACCACCTGCATCACTTCCCCACCGAACGCATATTTTATTACTTCAGCCATCCCCTTCCACTGGCTTGGCTTTGCACAGACAGGGCTTCCTTAATTGAGCCGCATGGTTGATGGGCTGTGCTAATTGAGCCGCATTCCTCCGCTGCTGCCGGGCTTCCAGACCCTGAGCCCGACCCGACTCCGCTCGGTGCCACCGGAGCCGCAGCTCTGCGCCTTGAGGAGCGCTTCCACAGCCCTGCTGCGCTCCTCACATTCCCGGAGCCTTCTCCCACCTGGGAACACCCGAAGGGCGCAAAAGCTGCATTCGGGCCGCACAGGTTTTTTTAAGGAGAGCCAGGACAAATGAAGGAAGCGGCTGCTGACAGCCCAAGGAACGAACCCTGTGTCCCTGAGAGCAGCAGGGAGGAAAACTCACCCAGGAGAGCAAGAGCGGCTATCCCATACAGAAAAACCCGCCCGGCTCCAGGGACCGCTCCAAGCACGCTGCCAGGTCCTGGGAAGGAGCCAGGAGCCTTTAAAGGGTCCTGGAAGCAGGAAGGAGGAGCGGCACTGGGAGGTGACCGTGAGGAGCCGGCGGTCCCAGCTGCCCGAGTTAAGAGCTCAGCAATCAGGGCAGAGACACCGCGTCTGGAGCCAGGGCGGGTTCCGCACAGCATCCAGCTGTTTCTCACCCTAATTAACTCTACAGGCTAACAGCGATTATTAATATTAATCACCCGGCCTCTGAGGCTGCTAATGAAACCAGCTAATCCATAGCAGTGCAAATGGACACGGGAATTTGTGCTGAGTTACAGGGGAGAGAAGGACTAACTGCTCTACAAGGTGCTCACACCCTGCTTGAGCACAGGTCTCCTCCTGATTATGGAGAGATGCCTCAATAAGGCACTAAAAACCCTAAAACATCTGCTGAATAAGCTTTCCATCATTAAAGCTGCACCTCAGAGGAGCACGGGGCTCTGAAAGGGGAACAGCTTCCACCAGCACCTCCTTTCACAGCAGCAGCATCACTTGGGAGCGTAAGGAAACCGGGCAGGGGAGAACAGAACAGAGGCAGCCCCTCACAGGAAACCTTACTGAAATTAATTCATACCAGCGCTGATGTGGAAAGGGCTTGGCAGGCAAAGCTTTGTTTGCTAGATTTGTGGAATTCTTTGTGTAAATAAACATGAAACTGTAGAATGTTGGATTGGAAAATCCTCGAGCTCACCAAACCTGTTGAGGCAAGAGCTGTCAGGTCTAGGCTCACCTGATGTTTGAGCTGATGGTGCTTCCCTAAGCAAAGCTTTTCAACATTCCACAATTAGGAAATTACTCATTAGCCAGAGACTTTTCCCCACTCCATTGGGAACAGAGGACACCAGGTCACTGGTTTGTTCCTGTGTCTGAATTAATGATTCTTTGCTCTCTCAAATGTCTCCTTTTGAAGGAACCATCTCTTTATTTTCATCTCTTTCTCACTCTGCTCATGTTGTCCTGTCCTGTTCCTGAGCAATCCTCACTAAGTTTTCATTTCCTCACTTTTTCTGTGTTTTGGGGCTTCTTTTAGTTTGGATTTGTTTATGGGGTGGTTGTTTTGGGGTTTTTTGGGTGGTAGCCCTGTATCTGTTTTATCTCCAATATCCTCCCTGACCTGAGAACCTCCAGCTCCAGAAGCCAACTCCCTGAATTTTCAACACATTTTGCAGAGAAACCATTTTCCTCTCATAACTTCAAAATTTAAACCAATAGATCCTGCGAAATAAAACAAGATCTGATCCTTTGTGTCCAAAATGTGGTTCCTGGCTTTTCCCCAGCAGGTCTGAATTTATCAAATCGCCAGGTGTACACATTGCATTAAAACCAAGTAATAGAAAATTCAGTGTTCACCTTTCAAGTCCAACTGAGTAGGAAACCAATTCAATTTTGCTGTCAATTACGTTAGGGAGAAATAGGAGAAAATAGAAAAAAAATCAGATTAATGCATTCTGAGATAAATGGTATTTCAGATAAGTTTAATCTTACTTTTGAGAGGTGCTAACTCATCACGTGCATCTA